CTGGGGCCTCCACTCAATAGCATCTGAGCTGGCAGAGGGACCCATGGGGGAAGCTGTCCAGGCCAAGACTGAGCAGTTGGGGGTGCAGCAAAGGAGGGCCCAAAGGTGGCTGGCCTAAGTCCTAGTGTGGAGGAGGCAACAGGGTTGGGGCTCCTGGAGGCTGCAGGTGGTGGAGGGAGGCCTGGGGTGGCAGACCCCCAGCCTGGGCTGGCAATGGGGGTGCTGGGTTCAGCAGGAGGCTCCACAACAGGGGGTTGGTATGGGTTCTGGGCTCGCAGGAGAGGCCCCAGAGAGGCAGCTCCAGGAGGGATTGCTGTGCTCCAGGAAGGGGCCTCCCTGGAGGGGGTGGGGCAGGGCCTGGGAGTCTGAGGCTGTCCACTTGTCCCAGTCACCCCTACTCGTACCTTGCCTGGGGGTTGTGGCTGTGGTTGGTGGAGCTAGAGCAGGCTTTGAGAGGGCTGCTTCTGCTCCTCCAGGAGAGGGCCCAGTCCTGGGGGGCCTGTGATTCCCCCATCCCACGTGGTGGTAGTTGGGGCTGCTGTTGTTGCAACTCCTCCAGCTTCTGCTGCTGCACCTGCATGTGGTTGGTGATGACCTGGCAGATGCCGTTGATGAAGCTACTCTGGTCATTGTGGATCAGCCCCATGAAGACCTTCTTGGAGGTGTAGAGGAGCATGAGGACGCACACCTCACAGGGTGCTGTATGGTGGAAGTGGATGCAGCTGGCAAAGCCATTGCCCATGATGCGGTAAAGGCCTTTGCGAGAAAGAATGATAAAATTCTGAGCAGTTAAATGTGTCATCTTTCCATAGAGGAATGTCAACAGTTTAACTTTATTAAATCCCTTGTGATTTCTCTTTCAAGTGTATTTTTTTGTGCTTCTGGTTGGAATGTCAAATTTTCTATTCATCTCTGGTCTTTTCATCAGAAATACTTGGATATTTTCTGTTTCATTGAACGTCAGCTTTTCCCCTGTAGAATTATATCCAGTTTTTCTAAGTAGGTTATTCTTGATTGTAATCCTAGCTCTTTTGCTTTTGCCAATATCATATTCAAAACTTTCTGCTTCTTTAATGTGGAAGCTGCTAAATATTGTGTGATCCTGACTGTGGCTCCACAATATTTTAATATTTTTTTCTGGCTGCTTGCAACATATTCTCCTTGACCTGGGAGCTCTGGAATTTGGCTGTAATATTCCTGGTAGTTTTCATTGCAGTATATCAGGAAATGATTGGTAGATTCTTTCCATTTCTTTTGTGCATTTTTCCTAGATAATTTCTTGAAAGATGCTATCTTGACTCTTTTTTCATCATGGCTTTCAGATAGTCTAATAATTCTTAAATTATCTCCTTTGATCTATTTTTCAGGTCAGGTTTTTTTTTAAATGAAATATTTCATATTTTCTTCTTTTTTCCCCATCCTTTGCGCTTTGTTTTATTTTTTTTCTTGATGTCTTATGGAGTCATTAGCTTCAATTTGCCAGATATAATTTTTAAGGAATTATTTTGTCAGTGAGTTTTTGTACCCTTTTCCCATTTGGCCTTTTTAAGGAGTTGTTTTTCAGTCACTTTTTGCACCTCTTTTACCATATGGCCAATTCTCTTTTTTTAGGGTGTTATTTTCTTCAATGTTTTTGTGCCTCTTTTACCAGGTAATTCTCTTTTCTTGCATCATTCATTTTTAAAAATAAATTTTTCCTCTACCACTTTTATCTTTTTTCTTAACTCTTCCAGGAATTCTTATTGGGCTTGTGTCCAATTTGCATTTTTCCTTTGATATTTTCCTTGTAGCTGTTTTCATGTTGTCTTCTTCTGAGTTTGTGTGTTGTTATTCCCTGCCATTATAGTAGGTTTTTAAGGTCAAGTTCTTTTTTTGTTGTTTGCTCATTTTTCCAGCTTATTTTTTAGCTTTGAATTTAATATTAAAGTTGCGCTCTGTTAATCTGGGGGTAGGGAGGCTGTGATGAATGAAATGTTTCTGAGAGACAGTTTTTCTGGGTAATTAATACTTTATTAATTATTGCTAGTAAATAATTAATAGATTGAGAAGAATTGTTCCTCTTGACCACAAAAAGACTGTCCCTGGAGAATATAGAATGCTTAAAAGCTTTTGGAAAAGGGCGTATCCCTGAGGGTAGAAATCAAATTTGATTGGTTAGTAATCAATGAGAGGATGGACATATTAATGAGGAGGTAGGGGGAAAAAGTCTTCAGCTTTTCCTGCAGAGAATATGACCTAATAAGGCAGCTTCCAGCAATCTAGAAATCTAGAATCCATCTCTATCCAGATCAGTGTCTGATTTTCTCCTTCATAAGCTGTGTCACTCTAAATTTTAATGGAAGGCTCCAAGGACATGGACTTATTTCCTAAGGGCAAGATCTCACTCAGACCAGATTCTCTGTTTGTAAGGTCTTCTAGTGGGATGGGGTCCTATCCAAGATGGAAAAGCCTATACCTGGAGGATTTAGGCAATCTCATCTATCAGCAATATCCTTCAGAGACCGGCTGAATAACCCATAGGAGCTGGTTTCTGAATGAAGAAATAGGAAAGAAAACCATAATCTTATTAATAATTGGTTATTAATATAAGAGAAAAATAATAATTTTTCTTGGCCATTGTCCTAAGCTTTAGGCTTTTTTTGTGCTGCTGTTTTCAGAGCTAGTTCTGAGGGGTCTACAAGTTTTCAATGCTTCCCAAATGGTATTAGCCTGAGTAAGGTGTTCTGGTCTTTTGGCTGTACTGGTCTTTACTCAAGAAGGGCCCCTCCTTCCCCATAGCCACAAATGCTAATGTTTGACCCTGGAACTGTGACCAGGCCCCTGTTCTCTTGTAGCTGAGCACAAGCACTCCTCTCCACCCTGGAACTGTGACTCCAAACTGTATATGAACAATAGAACTGCCAAATAGTATTGGGTCTTGCACTTAGTGCCAGGAAAGGGTCCTGTGCTTTCTCTTTACACTTCTCTGACCTTTACCATTTCTGAGCCACTGCTGACACTGCTGCAGCTGCCTTCAAGGCCAACTACTGAAGCTGCTGCTGCCATTTGTGCTCTGGGCCAGCCCCCACCTCATATCACAGAGCTCTCCTGAAGACCTCCTAAGTTGTCTTGGTCTAGAAGAATGTCTTCCCTCTACCTTCTGTTGGATTTGATGCACCAGAGTTTATTTGACACATTATTTTTAAAGTTGTTTGGAGGGGAATGTTGGGAGAGTTTATTTGGATTACTGCCTCTACTCCACCATATTGGCCCAACCCCCTAACATAAGTTTTTCAAATGTGGGGAAATGATGTTAGGAGCAATTCATGAAAACCTCCTGGGAGAAAATAATCAAGAAAGTCACAAGTACTACTGGGAACATCAAATCCATCAAATGAATGATACATCTAATATTGTCAACTGTGCCTATCTGGAGTCTGGACTATCTGAATTAAAGTAAGAGGTCACATGCCTTTTTCATTCAAAATATCCTAGGGCTGAAATTTATAATAGAACTGATCTCATACCATTACCCATCTGATAGGCCTGCCAGCCAAAACATCCCTTCCTTGGGAGCCTCATCAGGAGGATAATACCAAATTTTGGCTGCTTTTTAAAACATTTGATGAACACTTCTCTTTTATCTAGGAACTTAAAAGTAAGACTGAATAGGCCAAAGGATTCCTTTTCCTCAAACTCCATGATTAGGAAAAGATAATTTCATCTTCCCTCTGTACCTTTAATAAAGCAAAACTCCTTCCAGTAATTCCACCCCTTGTTCCTCCAAATCCTTTCTGGTCAAAGGAATCACAAAAAGGGGGATATAAGAATTTCTTTGGGTTGCTTAGATCCTTTTGATCAGAAAAATCATCTTACGTGACCTTGCATAAAGGATAGAAAATAAGGAAAGCCAGAAAAGGGTAAAGAAAAATTGTATAAAAGAGTATTCCACTGTGGTTAGGCAAGTCTTCCTGGAGGGCAGATCTGCTGAAGTAGAGAACTCTTCCTCTTTTTGTGGGTTGGTGCTGTTTTATCAAAGATATGGCTTCTGGAAGATAAGACAACTAACAATAGCAATCAGGGATATGATAATGAAGCTTTTTCTTTAAAAAGAAAATTCAGTGAACAATGTAATAGACAAGTTCAATACCAAACCTTATTTGCAGTAAAATGGGTACCCTATTAGAAATGGACCCGAAGTTACAAGGTGGCATATTAGAATGTGTTCTATAGGCATCTTGATAATGGCTATATCGTTAACAAATTTTACTAACACAAGAACCAATATTCTAAAAAGGTATCAACTGGAGTAAGAGCAAACCTCTTGCACTTAGGTGGAGGAAGTGGGTCAACATAATAAAATTTCCAGTCACAGGCAGGCTTAAAAATATATGAGATAATGAGATCATACCATACTGAGTTTTGGAGGATGTTCTGACTGGCTCAAAGAGTATTGTTGGGCAGAAGTAGCTGCATAATACTGGTTTAAGTGGATCAAGTAGCCCCATGCAGTGTAGCATCACAGTGCCATGTCCAGATTGATGATGAATACATTCTCTAATCTCTTCTGTTCTTATGAGGGCATCCTCTTTGTTATTCAGTTTGCAGAGAGAACATGATGTTTCCAATGGGCACACAATTGGGGGGTAGATTTTAAACATTAATAAGAAGCAGTAAAGATAAAGTGAATGATTGATAAGTATACCTTACTAAGAAATTAAAGAGAAAATTTAAGGCCAAATGCTCATAACTATGTAATTCTTTAAGGTTTCCATGAATTTTTTTCCTAAGTTCTCTCATATTGATTTCCAAGTTTATCCCTAAGACTATTTGGGTTCAATTAGATAAATGGTGTATAATACCAACAATTTGGAAAAGTACAGTATTACTTAGAAATACCCAAATAAAATTGAGTCATCTGAATTTTTATTGAAATTTAGGGGAAGTTATTTTAATGTAGGCCTTTAATATGATAATGAAAGAATAATACCTCTCCTTGTGTTTATTTCTTTGTTTTTAAGCTGGACCTGTGATCTCCAGAATGCTGACATACCCTCCAACTCGCCGAGCTTTAATTGTGGGTTGTGGCCTACAAATGTTCCAACAGTTATCAGGCATTAACACCATCATGTATGTATTCCTTTCTAGCTTTATAATGGAATCATTGTTGATTCGGGGGTTTTTCAACATTAAAAATTATTTGAAGGAGTTTTTAATAAGTAAATTTCATAGAGTACTTTGAAATTACTATCATATGCTAACTACATTGGTTTATTCACTTAAGTTTGTATTCTTGGTCATAACATTGATTGCTATTGAATAAAAATGGCAGCCTAGAACTTATACAGGGAATGGGTACACATAGAATTAGTCTACTTCTTGTATAGTATCTGTGATCTAACAGAAAGAGAGACAGAGACTGAGAGTCCCTATGTAATCCCACCATGTGATGACTTTATGACAGTACATTCTTAATAGTTTCAATTTGTGATACAGAGAAAATAATAGGGACCACAAAACTTGCATTCTAATTCTGACTTTAACACTTTTACTAGCTTTATAACCCTAACTAGCCAACTTCTCTGAGTCTTTTTTAAATTCAATTTTATTTCATTTTCAATTCCAAATTGTTTCCATCTCCCCTTCCCTACCCATTGAGAAAGCATGAAAAACAAAACTTCTTAGAAATATGAATAGTCAAGCAAAACAAATTCCTCTTAGCTGTGACCAAAATAAAAATAAAATACGCTTCAGTCTGAATCCAATACCTCTCTATCTAAAGGTAGATAGCATTTTGCATCAAGAGTCCTCTACAATTATAGTTAGTCATTGTATTAATGACAGTTCCTAAGTGTTTCAAAGTTGTCTGTCTTGACAGGATTGTTGCATAAATGTTTTCCTGGTTCTACTCACTTCATTTGTTTCAGTTCACACAAGTCTTCTTAGCTTTCTCTGAAATGATTCCCTTCATCAATTCTATTAGCATAATAGTATTCCATCACATTCATAAAGCATAACTTGTTCAGCTTTTTCTACAATTAACAGGTACCTTTCTCAATTACCAATTCTTTATCACCACAAAAATAGGTGACATAAATATTTTTGTTTATAAGGGGTCCCTTTCCTATTTCTTTGATCTCTCTGGGGTATAACCCTAGTAATGGTATGATTGGATGAAAAGGGCATATACAGTTTATTCGCTTTTGGGACATAGTTCCAAATTGATCCCTAGAATGGCCAGATCCCTCAGAAGTGCATTAATATATCTGTTTTGTTTTTATCATTATTTATTTATTTATTTACTTATTTATTTATTCATTCATTCATTAGTTCATTTGTTTGTTTGTTTTAGGCAATTGGAGTTAAGTGACTTGCCCAGGGTCACACAGCTAGTAAGTGTCAAGTGTTTGGTCTGAGGCCAGATTTGAACTCAGGTCCTCCTGACTTCAGGACTGGTGCTCTATCCACTGCACCACCTAGATGCCCCTATGTCTGTTTTCTTATAGCCTTTCCAGCATTTGTTGTTTTCCTTCTTGCTAACTTAGCTAATCTAATGGGTGTGAGTTAGCACCTTGTTCATAAGACTAGTGATAGCTTGGATTTCTTACTCTGAAAACTGCTTATATTCTCTGAACATTTTTCAATTGGGGAACGGCTCTTACTTTTAAATTTGATCTGGTTCCCTCTATGTCATAGAAATAAACCCTTTACTAGAGAAATTTGTTGCAAATATCTCCCCCCAACTTCCTGCTTATAATCTAATTTTATCTATTTTGGTTTTGTTTGTGCAAACAAATTTATTTTATATTTTATTTTAAATTAAATTTTATTTTATTGAAATTGTTCTTTTTATCTCCTATGCACTTCTTTATCTCATTTGGTGGCAAACTCTTTCCCTTTCTGTACATCTGACAAGTAATTACTGTCATGCTTCTCTAAGTCATGTTCCTATTTGTTGCTTTTCTTGGTATATACAACGTGAAATGATGGTTTATACCTAATTTCTGCCAGACTGTTTTCTAGTTTTCCCAACAGTTTTTATCAAATAGTGAGCTCTTCTCCCAATAGTTGCAATCTTTGAATTTATCAAACATGAGACTACTATGCTCATTTCTTTCTTTTTTTTGTAAATGCATTTATTTTAAACGTAAATACAAAATAAGAAAAGAAAAAAGAAATAAACTTAAATATTAAAACTAAAATAATACAAAATAAGGGAAAAAAGCATTGCCTTGTGCACAGCAGAACGTGAAAGAGGATTCAAAACATACAGCAATAAATTTCCATTTCAAGAAAGCCTATATAATAAGTACCGTGCATTGTGTTGAGAGCTGACCATCTTTTCTTTGCTTCCTTGTAAGTTTTCTTTGGTTCTCTGCTGTGCACTTTTTTTTTGTTCTTTTTCCCCCTTTCTCCCTACCCTCACGGCTACAAATTAAGTAAAATATATTTATATATAGATATATACATACACATATATGCATATATGTACACACATACATATATATTCATACATATATAGACATATGCACAAAAGATATGCATCTATACATAAACACACACATACCTGTACACATATACACTTACACATATGCTTAGATATCAATATTCATAGTCACTTATGGATATATACATAAAAATGTATATATGTAAGACCATACTATACTTATTTATCCTCTGTTTCTTTGAGGGCGGGTAACCTTCATAAGTCCCAAGTCTTTCCCTACTTTTCAAATCCACCAACTTGTCATTTCCTATACCACAGCGATATTCCCACCTTTTGCTGTCTACTTGTTTTAAGTAGTCTAAAACAACATTGATCAATATGGCTGACGCAGATTGTAGTTTCTCTGTTTTTCTCGTTTGATTAAATCTATTTTAACTTTAACTTGGTCCGAGATCACGATTACTGCTCCTGTTCATATGGCTCCTGGGTTGTTTATTTGTTTGTGTGTTTGGGTAGATAGACTCCTAAATGTTTTATAATGTCTACAGTAATTTTAAATGGAGTTTCTCTTTCTATCTTTTGCTGTTGGGCTTTGTTAGTAATATGTAGAAATGCTGATGATTTGTGTGGGTTTATTTTATATCTTGCAACTTTACTAAATTTCAAATGATTTTTTACTTGATTCTTTAGGATTATCTAAGTATACCATCGTATCATCTGTGAAGAACGCTAGGCTAGCTTTGTTTCTTCTTTGCCTATTCTAATTCCTCCAATTTCTTTTTCTTCTCTAATTGCTGTAGCTGACATTTCTAGTGCAATATTGAATAACAGTGGTGATAATGGGCATCCGTCTTTCACCCCTGATCTTATTGGAAATGCTTCCAGCTTATCCCCATTACATATAATGCTTGTTGATGGTTTTTGATAGATGCTATCTATCGTTTTAAGGAAGACTCCATTTATTCCTATGCTCTCCAGTGTTTTTAATAGGAATGGGTGGTGTATTTTGTCAAATGCTTTTTCTGCATCTCTTGAGATAATCATATGATTTCTGTTAGTTTTGCTGTTGATATTGTCAGTTATGCTGATAGTTTTCCTAATATTGAACCAGTCCTACATTCCCGGTATAAATATAACCTGGTCATAGTGTATTGTCCTCTAGATACATTGTTGTAATCTCTTTGCTAACATTTGATTTAATTTTTTTGCATCTACATTCATCAGGAAAATTGTCTTTCTCTTTTTTTGCTCTTCCTGGTTTAGGTATCAGCACTATATCTGTATTATAAAAAGAATTTGGTAGGACTCCACATATTTTCCCAAATAATCTATGTAGTATTGGAATTAATTGTTCTTTAAATGTATGATAGAATTCATTTGTAAATCCATCTGATCCTGAGAATTTTTTCTTAGATATTCATTGATGGCTTAGTCAGTTGTTTTTTCTGAAATGGAGTGGTTTAAGTGTTTTTTTTCCTCTTCCATTAATCTGGGCAGTTTATATTTTTGTAAATATTCATCCATTTCACTGATTGTCAAATTTATTGACATACAGTTGGGCAAAATAGCTCCTAATTATTGTTTTGATCTTCTTTTCATTGGTGGTAAATTCACCTTTTTCATTTTTGATACTGGTAATTTGGTTTTCTTTTTTTTAAATCAAATTAACCAAAGGTTTGTCTACTTTATTGATTTTTTTCATAAAACCAGCTCTTAGTTTTATTTATTAGTTCAATAATTTTCTTAATTTCAATTTTGTTAATCTCTATTTGCTTTTCAGAATTTCTAATTTGGTATTTAATTAGGGATTTTTAATTTGTTTTTTTTTAGCTTTTTTTAGTTGCATGCCCAATTCATTGATCTTTTCTTTCTCTATTTTATTCAAGTAAGCATTTAGAGATACAAAACTTCTCCTAAGGGCCACTTTTGCTGTGTCCCATAAGTTTTAGTATGTTGTCTCATTATTGTCATTCTCTTGGATGAAGGTATTGATTGTTTCTATGATTTGTTGTTTGACCCACTCATTTTTTAGGATTAGATTATTTTGTTTCTAATTAATTTTTAGTCTTATCTTTCCATTGTTCATTATTAGGTGTAATTTTTATTGAATTGTGATCTGAAAAGGATGCATTTAGTATTTCTGCCTTTCTGAATTCAATTGTGATGTTTTTATGCTCTATGTACTAGGGTACATGGTTAATTTTTGTGTAGGTGCCATGTGCCTCTGAGAAAAAAGTATACTCCTTTCTATCTCCATTCAGTTTTCTCCGGAGGTCTACCAAAGCTAACTTTTCTAAAATTCTATTCACTTCCTTAACTTCTTTTTTGCTTATTTTGTGGTTAGATTTATCTAGGTCTGAGAGGGGGTGGTTGAGGTCCCCCTTTAGTATAGTTTTGCTATCTTTTTTCTTCCTGTATCTCCCTTACCTTCTCCTTTAAGAATTTGGATGCTATACCACTTGGTGCATATATGTTGAGTAATGATATTTTACTTCATTGTCCATGGTACCTTTTAGCAGGATGTAGTTTCCTTCCTTATCTTTTTTAATTAGATACATTTTTGCTTTCAATTTGTCTTGAGATCAGGATTGCTACCCCTGCTTTTTTTTTTTACTTCAACTGAAGCATAATATATTCTGCTCTAGCCTTTTACTTTTACTCTATGTGTATCCCCTAGCTTCCA